CTTCCCCTACCTGAACCCACCCAAGATCAGCCCAGGCCACCCTGATCAGGGGCAGAGCCAGCTGGCCAACTGCCTGTGGTCCCTCCTCCAGGCAGGTCCTGCCCCCATTGGGTCCCCACCTCCCCAATCAGCCCATGGCCCCTCCCCATGGCCAGCCCAGACCCCAATCACCGCCCCCCCCCAACCCTAATTGGGGGTGGGCTCACTGGCCAATAATCTACAGACCCTCACCCCAACCACCTGGCCCTGATTAGGCCTTGATCAGAGTGGGCCAGCCAGCCAACCTCGGCCATCTCCTCCTCCCAGCAGGCCTGGCCCCAATCCACTCTGATTGGGGACAGGCCAGCTGGACCCAACCTGTGCACTGGGCCTCTACTCTTGTGTGTGTGTGTGTGTGTGTGTGTGTGTGTGTGTATTATGCAAATTGTCCTCTTGGGAATTTAATCAAGAGACAAGGAGTTCAATCGCTCACTATGATGTGTGCTGACCACCAGAGGGAGATACAGAAAGAACAAAGGTCCTGGCCGGCAGCCAGCAGCCACAGAATGTAGGCCCTGGCTGGCAGTTGGAAGGAAGGCCCCGATTGGCCCTGATTGGCAGCCTGGCCTAGGAACCTACCCGTGCTTGATTTCATGTCGTGCACCAGGCCTCTAGTAAAAATATACTGCCTAGAGTTTTTCTTCTGTGTCAACATGAGTACAAGCACCCAGTACTCAGGAGCCTGAATTAGAAACCCATGCCATGATTACCTCGGTAGAATAAAATGTTCAGTACAAGAATAACTTATTTTAAAACAAACTCTAGCTGAAGATATCAGAAGCCAAGTCATTTGTCCACCTTCCAGGAAATACTTTGTCTATTTTTGTTTTTGTTTTTGTTTTTTTTCATATGGACTGCTGATATAAAAATGATACTGTTAACCAAATGGAAATCTTCTATCCTCATCAGCATCTGAAATAGGTGGACATTGGTTTGCTTTTCTTTGATTAATGCAGGCTGGGTTGAGGCAACCCCTGCCCCCTTGCACAAATTTCGTGCACTGGGCCACTAATCTAAATAATAAAAAGCTAATATGCAAATGGCCATGATGCCTTCATGTGCAATGACTGATCAGCAAGAGGCTGTGTGTGAAGCAGGTGTGGGTGGGTGGGGACTTGCAGCTTCAGGAACTTGTGTGAGGCTCGCATCCCTGCCCCTGGTGCTGGGCCCAGGGACGTGAGGCTCACAGAGGCTTGTGTCCCCACCCCCTGTTCTGGCTGGCCCTTGGGCATGAGTTCTGCGTCCCTGCCCCCAGGGCCAGGCCCAGGGACATGAGGCTCCCAGAGGCCTACATCTTTGGGGTGATGGATAGCGGGGCTTCCGCACTGTAGCAAGGCACAGGCCAGGATGGGGTGACACCTCCCTCCCCCTGACAGCATGAATTTTGTGTACCGGACCACTAATTCAAAATAAAAAGCTGCTTTGAAATTACAGAAATCCCAAGGTCACAATATGGAATTCTAAAAGTCACTGTTACTGATACTTAAGATTTTTGCTCCTCATTAAAGAAAACCCAGAAAGCTGACTTTTACAATGTAGAAAGTCTTTTAAAAGATATCCAACAAAGAATGGATATATGAATATTGGTATAAGTTTGTGTGTGTACACACACACACACACACTCACTCACATACAGTGTCCCAAAATGTATACACACACTTTGAATGATTATAAAGGCAGTGTTTATTAAAAAATATTTCATTTCCAAAATTGAGTTATCAACTGCTACAGTGTGTATACATTTTTGGGGGAGACCCAGCATATAAACTTTCAAAAGCTTGTGGCTAGCATTAAAATTAAGAAAATTCCCTCAATGCCCCCAGAATGTTCTAACTGGAAGTGATCTTTGGGGTTATCTATTGTAGTACAATCCCCTAATTTTATGTATGGAATATGAAGTTCAGAGAACATGAGAAATTTGACCCAAGCTCACTCACCTAATTAGCAACATTGATAGCACTAATCCTTGGATTCCTGCTTTCCAATTTAACCTTTTTTTATAGAATCACATTGGGTGCTGTAACTATATGTCAGTTCACCTAAGCAATTATATAAGAACCAGAAGGCTGATAAATCTATGATATTTTTAAATTTATTTATTGTCTAATAAATTGTAGCAAAAAAGAAGGAAGTGGCAGGACAAACCAGCCATGATTTTAACTGGTTGACATTCTTTTCCACCTCCAAAAAAATTCAAAATTCACTCCAGAGTTCCTTGAGGAAAAAAATAGGGTATAGATTTAAACCCCCAATAACTAACCACGTGGCCAATTAGCAAATAAGTGTGTGCACTCACTGCCATGTCCTTCAGACTCCAATCTGGAGTGCAATTAGCATGACAGGAAATAACCTGGAGATATGAATGTCTAAAATCCCAAGTGCTGAGCAGGAAGGCATGCCCCTTAGCCTCACAGTGCCATAGCCTAACAGGCTGTAATGGATCAGATCCAGTTAATGAGAAGCAGCTAGGCAGCTGCCCCACCACCAGGCAGTTAGAGAAAGGGGATTCGGGTTAAAAGGAAACGGCAGTCAACGCAACAGTCATCCTTTGTTGTGACTATTGCAAAATAAGACAGACAAAATACACAAAACAGCTCCTCCCAAAAGCAAAATAAAACCAACGACTTAAGTTTTCACTACAACCAAACATCACGCCAAATACAGTCAATTACAGACTACCTAAAATTCGGAGAGGACTCGTTTAGAAGAGATCTGATCACATGAGCTCAGCCTTTGAGAGAGAGATTCTTTTAAGGAGATTTCAATAGAGATTTTTCCCGAGCTTTTTCAATGTCATCTCCTATTAATAATTAATTCACTAACGTTCATCTCAGATAGCCTGTTTGGTTCCCGTTAATCAATCAACAATGATGCATTATGAGCCCAGGGTTTGCCTCAGAAAGGCTGGGGGTGGCGTTCACAGGTGGAGCATCAGCTAATTTTTAAATATTTAAAATTTCTTAAGTTTCCTCCTAATTTATCTGCAAACAGCATTCGTTAATGAGCGGACAAGGACAACTGTGCAATGACAAACCACACACAGGTCACGGTGTCCCCCTCTCTCTAGCACACAGCAGAGGGTGTGCAACTAGGTTTCAAAGTCCTTCCTGGATCCTACTTGCAGTAATCTCTAAATTAGCAGCCTTTTCCAAAATGTTTAATGAAAGGTAAGGCAAAAGCCTAAAACAATAAAAACTTTAGTATACAGGAGACAAACTGTGCTTCCTCCTCTACGTGTTATCACCTGCATGGGCATGGGAGTCTGACATAGTGTTTTAAAATGCCCCACTGGAACATCCTGCCTTTGTGAACTTGAAGAATTATGTCACATCTACCCCTCAATGTATTGCCCTGTAGAGTTAAGAAGAGTACCTTGCTAGTTGAGCATCAATCTATGAACCAGGAGGTCACAGTTCGAAACTTGGTCAGGACACAGGCCCACCTTGATCCCCACTTGTGGGGTGTGTAGGAGGCAGCCAATCAATGGTTATCTCTTATCATGATGTTTCTATCTCTCTCTCCCTTCCTCTCTGAAATCAATAAAAATGTATCTTAAAAAATAATAGTATCTTCCTCGTAAGCTTGGTTGTTTGTTTGTTTTTTAATATATTTTATTGCTTTTTTTACAGAGAGGAAGGGAGAGAGATAGAGAGTAGAAACATTGATGAGAGAGAACCATCGATCAGCTGCCTCCTGCAAGCCCCCTGCTGGGGATATGCCCGCAACCAAGGTACATGCCCTTGACGGGAATAGAATCTGGGACCTTTCAGTCCACAGGCCGAAGCTCTAGCCACTGAGCCAAACCAGTTTCGGCCCTAAGCTTGTTTTGAATATTTAATGTGTGATGCTTGAGAAGGGTTGACTTTGTATTTGGTAAATAACAAATATTTAATAAGTATTAACTATAATATTACTATCATTAAAATGATGGTACAGTTATGACTATTCTGAAACCTGAAATCCTTTGTAAAACATACAATGAAAGTTAATAAACAAGAACTTGGTGCTTATTAAATAAATTCTTGCTAAACTTATAAATTACTAGTGTCAATTATATTCACACAAAAGCCTTATTTTGCTGCCTTCTCTATAATTAATACATGCAAAACTTCTTTTCACTCAGTATTGCCTGATAGGAACCAGGGACAAGAGGAAAAGGTCATTTTGCTTTTTAGTTGGACACCAAAGCCAGGTTTTAGAGCTTCAATGGACATTCATGTTGCCATTTTTTTCCTCTCTCAATAGAGTTCACCAAATCTATCGATTTACAGCCATGCTGAAACTCTGAACAACTACTTCGACGTAAGATTTATATCTTTAATTTCTTTTTCATGTAGCAACAGCAAAGCACGTACATCTGATCATTCTTGACTCCGAGACTCAGATCATCACACAATTTCCAATTAAAAATGTTTACGGGAGTGCACTTCATCAACCAAGCTGCCTTGCTATCCCAACTAAAATATAGTGAAGCTTGAGGCCATCTGCAATAATAAACTTTAAAATGCTTTATAGATAGTAACTAAATAACATCTTTATGAGAACAAGTATCAGGGGATTGATCAAATTTGTTCTTAATAACAACAGGATAAATATTTAAGAAACATTTGCTGGGTGCCAGGCATTCTTTCTTCTAGCCCTTTGAGGGAAGTGCCATTATTATCCCCATTTCAAAAATGAGGAAACTGAGGCACAACAAAGTAACAGGCAGTCAGTCTGACACCAGAGTCCCAAGTTCTTACCCATTAATGTACACATGGATGTTGTGGCTTTCATGAATATTACGTTCATCACATATAGCATGCCCATATTATAGTAAAAGGATCCAAGCATTAAGCCAAAACCTCTGCTTGGTCATTTTTTTTTTTTTTTTTTTTAACTTTGATGACAATGAAAGAAAGAAACAGCACACTTTGCAAATTAGAAGAGAGTACATAAACAAACTAGCTCATCATTCCTACCTCAAGTCTGTCTGTCCGCATTAATTTCTGTGCAGCAGCTGCAGCAGCTGCAGGGACAGGGACCCCAGGGTTCCCTGTAACCAACATTGGTGCAGTCGGCAAGATCTCTGCTGGAACCAGGCTTGGGGAGACAGGTCCCAGGTAGGGATTAAAGGCTGCTGATGCATTGGTGGCTAAGCTGGGTGCAACTGAAAACATTGGCTGAAAAATAAAGTAAGAAGAAACATTTAATATGAAGGTCTTAGTTGCAAGTTTATATCCTACATTATATATGTTTGCATCCATCCATCCATCCATTCATCCATCCATCCATCCATCCATCCCCCCAACCTCCATCCATCCATCCATCCATCCATCCATCCATCTATCACCAATATATTCTTCCCTTTCTTCCTCTCTCCCTGTCCCTCCATTTACTTCTGTGTTTATTTACTCTTATTCAGGATAAGGATGATTCTTAAATAAACATTGATTAAACCAAAGTTTTTCTAAAATACAAGAGGTAACCTGCCACTACATTTTTCCACTGGAATCTTAAAACCTGGAGTCTCTCATACTTGCAATTTCTTTATGAACAACAGATCAAGAACTCAATAGGGAAACTTCCTGTGGTTATCTACTTTCCATCTTTGTCCTGATTGAACCCTAGATGCATATCTAAGAAATATATTTCATGATTACTATGTCAGATGTGTCTTGAAGGATCTGTTTACAACCGTTAACAGGTTGCAAGTGTCCCATTATCTGGAATAAATAAAGCGGAACTCTCAGTAGACAGCACAGTTTCACAGTCAATGTAAACTGTGAATAAACCTCATGTGGGCATGGAAAGGTGAGGAGGACTCCATTCCTTGTGGGCACACAAGATAGAGTGTTTGGCAAATTCACTAGTTGCAGGTTTTTCTGGGGGGATTATAAACTTCACCAGTCTATCACGCTCTTGTGAGATATTTAACAGGGAATTCGCCTTCCTGGGGGAGAACCACTGGAAAATGGGAAATCTGCAAACAAGAACACTTCTAACTAAATGCTAGGTGATTCTTCAAGGGAACGCCAATGGCAACACTAAGGACAATGTGACAAGATTGACTTTCTGCCAGAAATGCTTTCATGGATACATGAGAATGGTTTCTATTGGTTGGTATAAAAATGTGCATATCAGGAAATATAGCTGTTCTTGATAGAATTAAGCAATTTACCTGAAATCGACTCGAGCAATTTTCTTTTCCAATTTTAAAAGCATAACTTAGCACAACAATTTCCCATGTGATTGATGATACATTTTCAACTTCCTAATTCAATGGAGTTTCTACTCTTAAAGTTTAACACTTTGTGTAACAGTAATGTCTGTTTCCAAAACACAAAAAACAGATGGACAAAATGGAGCCTATTCTTGAAGGTAATTTTTAACAGTTCACTTCCTTTTACCCTGTGATATGGAATAGATTCAGAGAATTTTTTTTTTTAAGAGTAAAAGGACATTACACTGTCGCTATTCTTCCCTCTGAAAGATGACCCTGAGTTCATATAGTGTTCAAGAGCAATTTGGAACAGATTTTTAATGCATGTTACAAACGTAATTTTAAGATGCATGTTACAAACGTAATTCTTATAGTTCGAAAGAGAAACATGTTAAAAAATACAACATTCATCTAGTCTGGCCCTGTCTCATCCTGTCTTTGTAAGGGAGCCCAAGTTTTCCCTTGTTCCTAGGACAGTTCTCAACTCTGGGTGATTTTGCCTCACAGGGGACATCTGGCAATGTCTAAAGAATTATTTCTAGTCACCACAGCTGGAGGGTGCTATGGCATGTAATGGGTAGAGTCCAAGGGTTCTGCTAAATGTCCCATTAACACAGGGGCAGGCCCTTCCAACAAAGATTTCTCCCGTCCCCAAATGTCAGCAGAGCTGAGGTTGAAAATCCCTGTCCTCAAGATGTGCTCTTCTCTTGACCTCACACATTGCTTTAAGACAAAATCTTTTGTGCATGCAGCTTGTGCAATCTTAGTGAGAAAACAATGAAAAGTAGAATATTTAGCCGAAACCAGTTTGGTTCAGTGGATAGAGCATTGGCCTGCGAACTGAAAGGTCCCAGGTTCGATTCCGGTCAAGGGCATGTACCTTAGTTGCGGGCACATCCCTAGTGGGGGGTGTGCAAGGGCAACTGATCGATGATTCTCTCTCATCGATGTTTCTAACTCTCTATCCCTCTCTCTTCCTCTCTGTAAAAAATCAATAAAAAAAATATATTTAAAAGTAGAATATTTAATACATAATGTGATTCCCGTGGCAGGAGAAAAGATGCACCATGGATTCTTCTGAGATGTCCCAGTTAGAATGATGATGCCTCCAAATGTGCTGGCTTAAATGCCATGGTTAGCTGCCCTGCCAGATCGATGGCTCTTGCCTGAGAAAGTGGCCTAGAGTAATACCTCCCATCCGCAGAGCCATCCCTGCCCAAAGCAGCTACGTTGTGTGCTGACAACAGGAAACAATCCGGCATTCCAGATATTAACAATCCATAACCTGCCAAAAAACTGGGGCCCGGGGCAATCTCTGCCCACCAACGGATATTGAACAGCAGCTGATTTTATGCTGCTCCACTGTCTACTGGCTGCCGAGGCAGCAGCAGGGCAAGGGTTGACCTGCCCAGCGAATACATGTTGAACTTGGATTTCTACTCTGAGATAGTCAGGTAAAATTTCTACTCTGAGACAGTCAGGTACACTGCTACATACTCGCAGATACAGTATGTGAAATTTCAGCCACTCCAGCCACCTATTTTTCCTATTAGATATTTAATAGTTATTAAAAAAATTAGCACTGAAGATTAAAAGACTAGTTTAGAATGAGGAGAACAGAGGCCAGGTAATAGCACTCCTCCTTGTATCCTATTGCTACGAATGAACATGTATTTCCAGACAGTGCAGTTTTTAATGCAGGCTTCAGGAAGTTATTGAGATGCTCGTGTCATGGTACACAAGCTACTATAATTACTTAGAAGCAGAGGTCAAATCTGAAAAGTCATTTGGAGGGAAGAAAAGCATTCATATTTTAAGAAAACAAGACCAATGGCCAATAAAATTCAGCGATCTTAAAGCTCATTGAATAAAATAAACATAAAATCCATAATGCCTAGAATACAGAATTTGCATATTAAGGGAAAGGAGCACTTTTATTCCATAAAAGTATGGCAACAACTTTCCCACTGAACTGTTTCTATAGAGTTGTCACGTGAATTGATTTTTGCATTGAATCCAGCAGAACTAATTCAAATCTGGTGGATTTTAGGATATTCTCCCCAAGTAAAATCTGCAGCAGCTTTTAAAAACCTGAACCATCAACTCTTCAACAAGCATTATCTCAAATTGCTCCCTCTCCAGATAAGTGGTGCTATTTGCTAAACAGTCAGGCAATCAATAATAATAGCTCTACGCTTTGAAATCGGATTCCAAAAGCTGCTTTAAAAACAACAACAAAAAGTACAACATTCCTTCATTTCTTTTGTAAATCTGTTACATCCTTTTTCAAAGAGCACCTTGCTGGAGGTAGGTCACTGCTGGACTCACCAGTGCCCTAATCTGATTAGTAAATAACTTGTACTACTACAAGGCTAATTCTCCATCCAAAATTTGCCCTGACAGGGTTCAGCAGAATCGCAAGGATGGATATTAACACAATGGTAGTATTGGGCAGCATAATATTTTCTTTGAAGTATGCACAGGATAATGTATAACTACGTAATTGGTACATTTGATACTAACTGCATGATCTACAAATTCCTTGCTTCCGGGAAAGCATCAGGAAGGCTGGATTATTATTGTCTTTTGTCTGTAAACACCCGAACAGAGAGAAACTAATGGCAGGTTTACTAATGCTTCGATGGGCTAATCATCTGTTTGTTTTAAAAGAGCCACTCTGATTCCATTAAGGTACTCAGGCTTTATTATGAATTTGTTCATTTTGTGTGGATCCTGCAGTTGGCCTCTCTACTCAGGTCCCCCATAGACATTCACTTAAATAGTATAGCAACAGATGTGCTGTTTTTCTCTGTCCAAGAAATTAGTAAATGCATTAAATATTTTCTAGAAATAGAGATGTAAACATTAAAAAAGGTTTCGTGTCATCCATTTCTCTATGTGCTTCTTAGAAAAGTTTCATTTCTTTTCTTTTGGTTTTGCAATTTTTAATACTGACTTTTTCTAAGTTGTCATTTTGCTATGCTGCAATGCTGCAAATATCAGAGGAGCCCTAATTTATTTTTAAAATGCTATGCGAGACAGTGTTTGTTTTGCAGACAATGTTGGCAAGTTTTAATAAAATGGAGGGAGTACATACAATAAATAATACGTAATTGGTATATGCTGGCATTTACAGAACACAAGTTTTAAGTCAGATCTGTCTAGATGTTACGTGTGTGTGTGTATCTGTGAAGGTCAAACTTGCAAGCAGTAAACCATAAAGTGTTTTGTTTTGTTTTTTTAATTAACTGCATAATTGAGGTGCATGAAACCACATTCTTGTACAACCCCGTATAAAATCTATAAACAGCCTTTGTGAAAGATTATTTTGAATATGAATGTAGAGCCAAAAGCTGATGGGAGTTATCAACCAATATCACCTTACAATGCCTTTTTTCCAAGAAGGTAGCATATAAGTACGATCAGAGCAATCCTATTTTGAAATCCGTTTCTAGACTGACTTGCTGACTGGGCAAATCAAATGACCACCTGCTTTATCCTTAATTTCACTTTCTCTTTCAATCCAATTTTTTTCTCAATATTTAAATGGATAAGACTCACTTCTAGCTCTCCAAGGAGAAAGAAACATAGCAACAAATATGCCGGTCCCTGAGATTTGGGGCCCATTTTCAAGCTGCTTAAGGAAGTGCAGGCTACTTGATCGAAAAGGGCAGATGCCCTAGCCAGGTGGCACAGTTGATGGGAGCATCATCCCATATACCAAAAAGGTTGTAGGTTTGACTCCTGGTCAGCACACATATCAAGGTTTCAGGTTGTATCCTTGGTCTGGGCAGGTTCAGGAGGCAACCAAGGGATGCTTAGCTCTCATATCGGTATTTATCTCTCTCTCTCTCTCTCTCTCTCTCTCTCTCTCTCTCTCTCTCTCTCTCTCTCTCCATCTCTCTCTTTCTACAAACAAACAATAAAAACATGTCCTCATGTGATGATTTTTTTTTTTTAAAGGGTAGCAGAAACCGGTTTGGCTCAGTGGATAGAGCGTCGGTCTGCAGACTGAAAGGTCCCAGGTTCGATTCTGGTCAAGGGCATGTACATTGGTTGCGGGCACATCCCCGGTGGGGGGTGTGCAGGAGGCAGCTGGTCGATGTTTCTCTCTCATTGATGTTTCTAGCTCTCTATCCCTCTCCCTTCCTCTCTGTGGAAAAACAATAAAATATATTTAAAAAAAATAAAAAATAAAATAAAAAAAGAAGGGCAGATGGATGAAAGGGTGATTCAGAGCGACTGAGTGGTAAACATTTTACCAGAAATACTTGGGGATGAAGAGGCCTTATCTCAACCACCAGGGGGATAAACTGGAAAGGGAAGTCCTAGAATACAATGGAAGAATCCCAGGTGTTGCCGGAAGTGTGACAAACGATGACATCAAAGCTTTCAGCATCAAACTGACAACAACTGCTTGGAACCGAGGCGAGAGCAGAGACGAGATGACAGAGGCATCAGAGAAGCTCCCGAGACCTGAGGTCCATGCAGGTCCTCTGTCGCTGCCCTGCTTGCCATGCATGACATTCACGGGATTTCCACGTGAGTCAGGGACCTCAACAGGCCAAGGAGTGTGTGGCTTCGGGACAGCTGCTATGGGACGGTATGGATGGCCAAGCCTAACATGGGAAGCACAGTGCAAGGCGCCTGAGACCTCTGCCAGCTTTCAGGGGCAGTGACGAGAGCCTGAATGCTATCTTTCAGGAACAAACCAAAGAACTATAATCAGAGGCCTCTCAGTTGGAAACCACTAGGTGTCATCTACCTTCCGTTAGGTTGTTTAGTCACTTCTCATTAGATTGCCTTTGCATCAGATGGCAAAGAAAAAAAAATTGAATTAAAAAAATTAAAGTGGCACTTAGGAAATAAATCCAAATTTGGGTAATTAGATACTTATAGGCCTTCCATTTATCTTCCAGTTACAGAGCTCGTCGGCAGCAGGGCCAGTCACATTAATTAATCTTTCCGAGGCTTCATCTGCAAATCTGGGCTAATACTACCTACTTAATAGGATGGTGGCGAGGATGTAGGACACCAAAAGGACTGAGTTCAGTGACTGCAGGCACAGTATTGCATTTGCCCCCAAAATGTCAAGTCTTCTTTCTGATTCTTGGCTGGGTGCCTCTCTCTACAATTTAGTAAAGTCCATAAAAACAGGAAACTCTCCTATAAATCCCTGCACTCCCCAAGTCAGCTCAATGTCAGGTCTCAAAGACGTTACATTTATACACCAGGTCTCTCAAGATTTACAAGAAAAGGAGAATCCAAAGGGAGTGACATACAGCCATTTTCTGGTCCCCAAAGGGCCCTTGTGCAGCCCCTGGCTGCCTCTTAAAGAGTCTGCTACAAAATCGCCTCCTCCAGCCCCCATTCGGTGCGGCAGAGACTGGGCTGGGCTCTGGGGCCTGGTTGCAATTCCTCTGGACGCTAGGGAAGGTCAACCCCCATGAACCTCTGCCTCAATTTCTTGTGTTTGGAAAGCTCCTTCCTTCCCTCACTCACTCTTTCACTTACCCAAGCAATGGTTTGATCTCTGGGACGTGCTAGGCACAACACTAGGTACTTCTGAATCTGATTGGACCTTGCTAAGCTTTTGCCCAATCTGTGCTCCTCCAGCTACAGGGTGGAGGCCAAACTGGTTGCCCTCAGATTAGAAAACTAAAAAGGCTGCCAAAACTGGTTTGGCTCAGTGGATAGAGCCTCAGCCTGCAGACTGAAAGGTCCCAGGTTTGATTCTGGTCCAGGGCATGTAACTTGGTTGCGGGCACATTCCCAGTAGGGGGTGTGCAAGAGGCAGCTGATCGATGATTCTCTCTCATCGATGTTTCTAACTCTCTATCCCTCTCTCTTCCTCTCTGTAAAAAAGTCAATAAAATATATTTAAAGAAAACTAAGAGGCTTCCCCTATGGGACTGATCAGACTCTGCTGATGTTCCTGATGGAGTGGACTTGCTTTCAGCATTAGCTCCTTGGAGATCCCATCACCTGGGCTGAATCCAAGTTTAAGCCATCCCTCAAACACTCTCGGCTGGCCAGCCTCTTGGAACTGTTTGTCCATATTTGCCACCTGCTGCTTCCAGCCAATTAGCTTCCCTTCTTGTGGGCCCAGCATTGAAGTTCTAAGTAGGCAGCTGGTTAGGACCATCTCACTTATTTCTGAATCTCACTTATTATCTTCATTAAGACAGAGCTGGCTACAGGGATCATAAAGTCTCCGGTGAGATTCTGAAGCAAATTCCCCGGATTAAAGCCTTCTCTGTAGCCATTAAAAGCCATTCCTATTAGCAAATGCTTTAAAATTGAATAGTTAAGATGGCTGCTGTGCTCATTACAAAAACGTCACTCTGAACAGAGTCTGTTACTTCTAGACTGATCTCACAATGCCTCTAGCAAAAGGGTTATTCCACTTTCAAATCCAGGAACCAGGAAAAATTAACATAAAACCTGGATGTGCTCACATGTGGGGAGGATGGGTAAGAAGAGGGCATAGAGGGGATGAATGGTGATGGAAAAATAACAAATGAAAATAAAAGTATTTTAAAAAAGAAAAGAAAATTAATGCTTCGTCTAAGCTGAGAATTTCCCAGCAAAAAACACCAGAAAATGTGGTGATTTTTCTAACGGTTCCAGAAACCTGTGTGTTGGTGATTTCCTAAACGATGCATATCTGTTACTAGTATTTCAAAGCCCTGGGCATAAATGCTTCTTATAGTTTGTGCCAGGATTACGATGTGATGACCCTGGAAATGACCTTGAGAGTATAACTCAAGGACGAGCTCAGTAGAGGAACCGCCAGGACCGATGCCGTTTTTTGTAGTCTGGGAACTTCACTGCCGCTCTCAGAGGCGTGCTCGGTCAATGAGCGGGTAGATATGCTTTAAATGTTTCAGTGGAACAAAGTGCCTCCCATCAAGGAGAGATCTTATGTCAAGGAAAGTAGTAGCCACCACAAGGATCTATCGGACCTTTGAAGCTACCTATGTGAGGGCCAAATATAGCAGAGAAATCTCATCCAATATTGTATGCTGGAGAGGAAAAATATTGTTTTTAAACCAAATGAATGAGTTTATGCTATCCCAAAACAAACATGTGAAATTAGCAGATACCACAAAAGCAAATTTAAGCAATCATATTTTAAACTGAGCCCCCAAATAATGAAAATATAGGTTAAAACAGACACAGAATTACAATATTATCTCACCTCAACTGTATAGAATTGATAATTGGTATCACTGCCGGTGTGATATGGAGATCCCTCCCACCTCGAAATGCAATCCCCCCCTCTTTTTTGGAATGATTGGTGCATTAAGTTCTAAGAGAGAATGACAATTACATTGAGTTCAGATGTTAAAAGGTAGGAGGAGAAAAATTAGTTAGCACACTGCTACAGTTAGCATATCAGAAAAACGTGGGTCTTCACATTCCCATGACCCCAGAATACTACATATAAGTTAGTGACATAAATTACTGACAGATAAAATCTTATCATGGCAAATTTCAACATACATTTAAACACAGAATTACCATATCACCATGAATATCAGAACACCTTTTGCAACCCATCATTATGACATTACTCTCTTACATTTCTATGAACAAGTGTGAGTAAAGGTTATTGAAATCATTTACCATATACACCCTCCCAAAATCCAAATAAGTAAGTAAATAAATATATGTACTCAGACTGAAATGTTATCCCCACACGTTGCTCAGTAAACATTAAATCCCCATGACCACCTACAGCTTCTAACATTTACGTCTTTTCTTAAAAACCTTGGGAGTTTCTGCCTCTCCTGATAATTTCTACTTTTATGAGACTTCCAAGTCCATATTGATTCGCCACTGTCAGAATTCTTTCAGCATGGAACCACAAAATAATTTCAATTTATGTTTAGAAGAATAACAAAGGTTTCTTTTTTAAGAAAGAGAACTAGCCATGACCAGCGTTTCTCAGTGGTTCGAGCATCACCCTGAGCACCGAAGGGTCACAGGTTTGATTATAGGTCCAAGGGCAGATAGATACTTGGGTTGCAGGTTCATTCTCTGCCCAGTCCCCCCTCACTCCCTAACCCCCATCTGGGCACTACAGGATGCAACCAGTCCATGTGTCTCTCTCACATAGATGTTTCTCTCTTTCTCCCTCTCACTCTCTCTGAAAAGTAATGGGGAAAAAATATCTTCAGGTCAAGATTTAGAGAGAGAGAGAGAAGAGAAGAGAAAAGAGAGAAGAGAGAACTATATAGAGTCTCTTCAAGGAGGAAAGAATTTTTTTTCCTTAAAATTAGAGATGACATATGCCAAGTTTTACGATTACCCATTAAAGTAGCCTGGAAATGCATATTGACTAGATTGAGGAGATTGATGACCCTTTTAAAAACACAAACAAAACACTTTACATTTGAAAGTCTCAGAACTTAGGTTGGAGAAAATGTTAGGGGAAAAACATGCTATAATGCAAATTTCCACATGATTTACCCAGAAGATAAATAACTTCATGGTGTGAAAACAATTTCAGGGTCTGACTGAGAATTGTGCTAGAAAGTACGAGGCAATTGATCCTGTTACCTGTGTTCCGTGAACTAGTACAATCATCACTTTCTCATCAAATCTGAGCACTTGGAATCATCAAAACTGAGCACTTGGAGTTACCAATGTAACAAATGAGGACTGAAAACATGCTCACCACGGGTTGTAACGGGGCACCGGGCATCATGGCATTGGCTAGTTGCATTTGCTGGGCCAACATGGCCATGTTCTTCTGTTGAATCAAGTTATTGCGCCCATTTATCTCCAACTGTGTTTTTAAGTGTGGGGGTGGGTGCAGATATTTGCAGTTCTCCCTGGAACAACGACCCTAAAAAACAAAAGCAGAAACTATCTTAAAGGAAGAGTAAAATAAGCAAATCTTAAAAAATAATAATGCAAACCTATCACTTGAATCTACAATGCACACAGTGTATTGCCCACATCATTTTATAATACATTTGGAATAAGTAATGAATTCACCCAAATGCTTAAAGAATTTTCTTTTAATTTTTAATATTAGCTCTATTGTATCAAGATCCCAGTTTAAAAATCTACACATAGCCAAGATCATATTAAAATATAGAGTATCAAATAAAGAATATTAGGCTCCTTCCATAATATCTTCTGGTTAACTTTAATGAACCCCAAAGAATCATGAAGTTTTACTATCTATTTTTACTTGTACTGAGTTCTACGGAAATGAACTGAGAGGACTCAAGGCACACTATATTTTCAGTAAAACACTTTTACAAGTATTTCATAACAAATAAAATTTAAATTACTACTAAGCTTTAAAAGGCCATGTACTAAGATATTTAGAGATAAAGAGAAGAAAATTCTCGTATGTGACCACTGTATACAGAGATTAGTAAGAACAATAAAACCCGGGGTAAAAATACAGCCTTTACCCTTTCTCCAATGCCCAAGCGCCATAAATCAATCAGAAATAAACACATTTGTCCACCAAAAAAACTTACAATGTAAAATGGAGAAACAAAATAAGGTACTATTAAAATAAGAAATGTGAATATACCATCCTTTTGATGAATCTTCTTATAAAAAATATATCTATTAAAGTCTGTCATATGCAATGCTATATGAGGGAGTGTATCCTTATTATTTCAATGTATTGTCAAGTCATACTGATAGGAACAGATCTCATCAGTTGCTACCTTGATCACTTCTTTTATCAATAATCCTAATTAGGACTGTCTTGAAGGTAAAAGAAAGATTTAACTGAAGGCACCAACCACCTTCTTGAGCTTTATTTGAACTTCCTAAGGAAAATCTATTTCCCATAATTTGACCTTTTACTGTAAATTGACACAAAACTGATGCTTATGTTTGTGATAAAAGCTGTCAATTCTAATTTGAATGATCGATTCCCAACTTGTTTAGATGAAGGTGTTTAGGAATAAGTTTCTATGCAGAGTGAATATCTTAGGACATTGCCTGTTACTTCAACAAGCTCTGTGTAACGAAGCATTACAAATCATACTTGGGATCAGGCTGCAGTAGTTGATAACAAGGACCATACAGGTCTGAAGACCTGGGGAAGAGGCCTGGCTCTCACTCATCAGCTGTATGAACTGCATTAAAAACAAACAAAAACAAAAACAAACAAACAAACAAAAAAACCCACTAACTTCCATAAGCCTCAGGCTTTTTATCCATTTCAAAACTGCTACCTAACCTTCACCAGAATTGTGTTATGAAGACTAAAGCAGCTAATGCACAGTCTCATCTTTGACACTCACTGCATGCCCCTATCTGAGCGAGGTAAAGGTCTGAAGCTGCTATTACCATCCCCTCCACCACATTTTAAATTTTATATCAAACAAACTAAAAACAGCCTTTTGACATAAAGGTAATTATGATGGTTATTGATATGTTCACACATAAAGTAAGATTTAGATATCTATAACTTGTTCCATATGAAATTATCATGCTTGCTATCTACTGAGGTCATGAGCATGTTATTAGCTTAAAAGCATCTGGATACAAAACACCTTCTACAAGAACAGCACTGAGAGTCACAGAGAATGACTGGCTGACAGAAATAAGCTCAAGGACGATGGACAGTCTGATTTCAGGGTCATTCAGTTGGAATCTCGTAGAGAAATCCTGCCTTTTCTATACAAAGAACAACTGGGCCCTAAGAACAATTTTGTTTCTGTCTCTCCACGTCATCATGCTCACTAAGATTGGACTTTGTGAAGGGCAGACAAGCAGGGGTATATCCACCCTGTGGATTCAGTTACTGTCAATGCACTCAGCTCGGTTTCCATGGTTCCATAAACAGTACACAAGTAGCCCTGAGCTGGGAACCAGGCCTTGCCAAGGCTCTCAGCAGTCTTAGAAGGACTTCATTTGAGTGCCTCCCTAACACAAACCACCCGGCCTACCTGTGAACACAGCCCAGGCTAAAATGATGAAGGAGTGAAACCCAATTTGTCCACCGTACATCCTGTGATGTGCATGGCAAAACTCTGAAGCTCAGCCCTTGGGTTTTTTCTATGTATTTGCTACCTCTGCTCAGGAAGGCTATGCTTGGTTGCCCAGCTTGATCTGACTGCATCTGAGCAGCACTTTCAAAAAGCCATGCTTGGGCAAAGTATACGGACTATAAAGCCTCATCCACAGAAAGCTTGTGGCAGGAGGTCTGGGAGCCCAGGTTATTCTGAGAAAGCATACAACATGGCAAAACACAATTCTATAAAGCTACATGAATTTTTCATTGATGTGTGTGGAAAAAATAACACAGTAGCCTCTGCAATTAATATTAGATAAACTTAGCTTCTTAGGAAGTTCAGAACTTGTTTAATGCTGACTGTGCTGCTGAATAATTGCGGCTGGACAAATAAAAAAGTAAAGACTACCTTAGAATAAACATCCTTTTCTATGGGATTGCCTAACACCCGAGGGAAAACCACAAGTAGCATATCTTCCATGGAGAATTTAGGTAAATACGACACTGGTACTTCTCCAGGTTCATTGGTCTCTGTTCCCAGAACCCACACCTCAAGAGTCATTTGCAGAACTAATGAAAGACATGTCTTACAAAATAATTGAAGATGAATTATTCTAACTCTATTCTGGAGACAAAGATAACAGAAGGGGGGAGGGGGGGAGACACTAAATCTAATACCAAACTTTGATTTTGAGTTGCACTAACTGAATGATACATTTACTCAGAGACCTATAATTTGATTGCACAAGAAAGCTTGCCATAACAAAAGAACCTAAGGTGACAGGTTTGCGAGTTTCACTGGGGAAGAAAAGATTTGTGTTGAGAATGACATCCTAAAAATCTATCTACACTAATAAAAGAGTAAGATGCAAATTGTACCTTTGCAGTGCCCACCAGCCAATCAGGAGTGAGTATGCAAATTAACCTAACAAAGATGGCAGGTTAATTTGCATATGCAGGTGCCAAGTGGCCAAGGGCAGGGCAGAACACCTGCATCATCACCCTGCTCTGGGCCTCTGGGGAGTGTGGGAAGGTGGAAAGGAAGCTTTGGGCCTGAGTGAATGCCGAAAGGCGGCTCCAGTTAGAGAGAAGGTGGTGCCAGCAACCAGGGGAAGGAAGGCCTATCTTGCATGAATCTTTGTGCATTGTGCCTCTAGTACAGTGATAACGTTCTGAAAATCTAAGAGCAGAAATTCCATCGGTACCTAGTGCTTACTTATGCAGATCTGTATGGGAGATAATACACTATATTATCCAGAGACTTGGCCTCAAGACATTAAATTGGCTGTTATGATTAATGCAAAATATAAATATCAAGAAGCTGTTTTGTTTTGTTTTCAGTTTGAATCCTACATGCAGTTCCAACGAGTGCCATTTATTTGTACATCTTATCAAATGTAGGTTGGTTCAAATAGCAGCTTTGTAACTTACTTCCTGTGTGACCTGTGGAAGTTACTTAAATTCTCTGAGTGGCAAGACTTTTTCGACAGAATAGTAACACTGCCATTCACCTCACTGTTGATGTCTGAGGACTGAGCAAGATAGTAGGCCACGCTCATACATGGCTCCTGGTATAACAGGATATCAAAAACTATTATTTGTCTCTCTTTCCCTACATCTCCAGTTAACCACAAGCAGTAGTTGTTTCATTTAGCACCATTATCTGTTAAAAGTGATAAAAAAATATATAATAATAATAAAAGTAGACAACACAAGGACAGTGCATGACAACCATCAGTAATATAATATAAGCTTGGCCCTTCATCATTGTTCTGTGCCTGCCACATTAAGGAAAAAATGCTATTTTAATACGTTTCTTACAGTGTTAGGTTTCTGTGGTTTGTTTTTGTTGATTGCCCTGGAATGTGATTTTCAGTGAGCTATCTAGCTGACTAGCAGGCCACATTAAAGAGCCCTGCACCATCAATACCTTAGACTCCATTCGGGGAGGCTTTTTATAGCTTAACTCAACCCAGATTCCGAAGGCATCGCTGTAATACATGAACTATATATTTTAAGGGAATGGAGGAAGTTCAATAATATTGATCCCAGCTGAGTCCATTTTTCTCTAATAATTTTTCTGCATCTATAAATTAAAAATAACCTGTCCAAAAAAAATCAACATTCCTCCCACCCCGTAGTCTTAAAAGCCTGTATATGATGAATAATGGTCACTTGAAAGATCAATTGATCAAGTCCCCAATTTTTGAAGTTACAGACGGCTCCATTTTGAACTTAAGAATTTTTTTTCATTAGTATTTGAAATTGGCTCAAAGCTTGTGATTATAACAAGGGAAGATGTGTGTTTAGATTAATCGTTTGAGCTTAAAAATAAGTGCTTTGTTAACTCTTAAACATTATAGTTTAATAAAGTATATTTTAAATAATTATATCCAAGCTTATATGTAGAGTAGATATCTAAAAATTATGTGTACGTGATTATATATGTATGTATATATATTTACATGAATTATAGAATAAGCATAAAATGGAGTGGAATGAAAGATGGTCACTTAGAGATGTGAAAAAAAACATGATACTTTAAATATTTACTTAAGAACTCATTAACAATAAAAAAGAAAACATCTTACTTAGAAGTTGGTGGAACTTAAACCAAAACAAAACAAAACAAAAAAACAAAAAACTTTAAAACTTTATTTTAAAAATGAAAAAAAACACCTAATTTTCCATTTTTAATTATACTTCCTCCATCTACAATAAAATAAAAGAAACAATGTCATGTATGAGGTCAGAATGTAAGAAGATATCTTATTAAGCTGCCAAAGGATAACTATGTGGTAGGATTATAATTACTGAGTCATATTTGTGTAAATTCTGGAAATAAAAGGTCAATGAAT